TGTATGCATTTTTCAATCCCTGATTAAAACCCTAGAAAGGAGGAAAAACATTTGCATAAATAATTACAATCTGAAGTGAAGACCTAAATCACTGTGGAAGTGTGTCCATTCTTTCAATAACCATTTTTTGTATTCCTTTTGATTGTCAAGACTCTTGCTGTGCTGGGGAAGTGCTTATGCCTGGGCTCCAGTATACATTCTAGTGAAAGACGTGAGCTAGCAACTACCCTGAAATGCTGCACTCCTGTTACATATGCAAAGCACATCGTGTCCAAGGAATAGATGACACATGTAAGAGACCAGTATCAGGATACCCCAAGACTAAGTTCTCAGCACAAAGGAGACTTATTTGCCCCAGAGGAACAAAATGCAGAGAAGGGGAAGGAAACAAGGGGGGGGGGGAGGGAGTGTTTGTTCCAAAGAACAAAGAACTGCCTCTCAATACAGAAGAGACAACTGTTTACCATAGGAAAACTATGGTTTATAAAGGTAAAGAGGGAAACCCTATGCTAGAATGAGATGTTTAATTTTAATTGAGCATGTTAACTAATGATGGAATAGCAGTTAAAAGCACTGAATGCACTTCCAGAGATCCTGAGTTCAATTCCCAGTAACCACATGGTGGCTCACAACCATCTGTAATGGGAGCCAATACCCTCTTCTGATGTGTCTGAAGACAGCAACAGTGTACTCACATATATTAAAATAAATAAATCTTTTTTAAAAATGAAACAAAAAAGCTAAATTAAAACTAAAGATACAAAAATCACCAAATCATAACAACAACTACGTATACATACACAAAAACATGGAGTTGATTTTGTGTTCACCAATTACTCCCAACCTCAAGGCCTGCCCTGGAATGTGGTAAATAAACCCAGTGTCACTCCGTTGGAGAAAACTAATTTCCCCAGAAGCTACCCATTGGGAATAGCTTCTCCTTAATTAGGGGTGGACTTTGTACCCACTTTCCCTCCTCACTGCTGGGGTTTTGCCTGGCTTAAATATGTACAGGTATTATACATGCTGTCACAGATTTGATAATGCTGCCCTGGCCCTACCTTAGCAAAACATGAAAGGAATGAAGCCTCTCACCCCATGCTATCATGAGTCTTCCCAGAGAAGTAAACTTATCTACACTTCTACCAAGCAACCAGGAAAATCAATTATAAGCATGCTCTTCTCTTACTTCCTTCTCTGAACTAAAGTCAGTAGACAGAATGAAAACTGAATTTCTACCCTGCCCCAAATCAGTGAAGCAGAAAGATGAAGGAAGAAGGTTGTACTACTTCGGTGTGATTCAAATGAGAAATTTCCCCCATAGGCTCATGTAGTTAACCACTTTCTCCCTAGTTGGTGGTCCTGTTTTAAGAGGTTAAGGACCATTTAAGAAGTAGAGCCTTTGCCAGCAAAAGCACTTGGAAGAGCAGACCCCGCACCTCTCCTGGGCAGCACAGTAGAGCTGGCCCTGATGGCAGAGTGAGGGTAAGCTGGCCCTGAGGTCATGAGCATGAGAGAGCTTGCCCCACCACTGTCTGCAGTGAAGTGGCATGGGCACTATCTCATCTATGAACTGCTAGAGTGAGTGAAAGGGCCCATCCTGCAAATCTAGAGCTGCAGGATCTCCATGGCACAGGGCAACAACAGGATAAGCAAGAGGAATCCTGGTAATAATCAGTATTGATAGTATAGCAGAAGCCAGAGACCTCAAAGGAGACCGACGACTTATTGCAGTAAACATTTGCAAGTAAAGATAGGCAGATAGAGGGATATTCTGTGGGATACACTGTAAGATGTACTACAGCTTCCACTAAAAGATGTTTTCTATTGTTTTTTGTTTTTTTTTTATTTTGTTTTGTGAAGAACATTTCAAGGGCAACAAAGGGATGGGGAGATGAGCGCGACTGGCATGCATGATGTGAAACACACAAAGAATCCTTTTTTAAAAAAAAAGAGAGCCTTGTTTTCAGAAATATGTCAAGATAGGTGGAATTTGAGCTTTATAACCTCACTCTGCTTCCTGTCCTGTCTCTGTGCTTCCTGTGTATAGATATAAGAGTATTTTGTTTCCTGCTACCAAGCCTTCTCTGTCATTATGGACTCTATCCCTCTGGAGCTGTAAGCTGAAACTATGCCTTCCTTTCCTTACATTTATTTTGTCATGATATTTTATCACAGAAACAGAAAAATAACTAAGGCATTTAGAACCCCTCGCCTGTCTGGTAGTAACAGCAGCACCCATATGAGAGCTGAGCTTCTGCCCCAGCCATTGGCAGTGAGGTAGAATAAATGAATCTCTTTACTTCTCCCCTCCCTGGTAGGGAACTGAGCTCCCAGACTTTCACAGTTGCTATGAGTGGAAATGTTCTACTGAGGAGGCATTACTGAATACCCAGTCAACATGAATGTACATATGCTAAACAGAGCAACTTCCTGCTGAAAAAAATCTCCAAGACCTTACAACTTAATACCCAGAATGCTTTGTCCCACCAAACACCAAGACCCTCAAATGAGAAAAGACAATTGGCATTTGCCAATACAATGTAGATGTCAGCCACAGTAACATCCTGGTTCTTCTGTGACATCAGAACTCTCACACACTAAAGTGTGGTTATTAGCCCCTCCTCCAGGTACAGTATTCTTTCTTGGGTTCCTACATGACCAATGTCCTCAAAGATCTCCTCCTCAGTGTGTGCAACCTAGGCCTACCACACATCAGTCCACATTACTCTGCTTTCTCTTTCTCTCCAAATATGGATTCCTAACATAGTATGGAGTAAATTCTGTTACTAGGTGGGTGGTTTATTAACACAATATAAATCCACCAGGGCAAGAATTTTTATGTAGTTTGCAAACATTCTGAGGGCACACCCACCTAGAAAAGTCCAAGGTACAGTTAGTTCTTATCCAGTGTTTATAGAATATAGTTATAGAGTATAGTGAGTATGTATGTCAATTTGCCTCTAACAGTGTATCACTATAAGTAGATACCATATCTACTTATAGTCTAAGCTGGGCTGTGCATTTTACACTCTTCTAATGAGGTTCAGCATAGATATATCATTTTAAGTATGGACTTGTGATTGCAAACAAACTCTCCACATCATTAGCATAAAGAAATATTGGATGGTTCCTCACTATCCATATATCTTTGAGAGGAAAATAAAGGAACTTTAGTTATTGGAACTGAGATATGTACAAGAGAAAGGTAGATGATAGAAAAGTCTCCTTGGTCTAACTTAGTCTGACAGACTACATCTTTTAAAATTACTGTTAAGGAAAACTGAATGAAAAGCTTTTGAGATGGTTCCGCTGATAAAGGCTAACTAGCTTCTCCTAACCTGATGATGTTAGGCTGATCCTTAGAAGCCATAGTAAAATGAAAGAACTGATTTCCCAAAGCTGGCCTCTGGCCTACACACACACACACACACACACACACACACACGATAAAATAATAATAATTATTAATAAGAAAATTGAATTGAGGGTAGGAGAAATGTCACTTAGTTAAGAACATGTTTGCCAAATTAGCAAGCATGTGACCTGAGTTCAAACTGCAAGGCCCACAAACAATTCAGGCATGATGGCACATACTTGTAATCTCAGCACTGTGGACAGAGACAGCTGGATCCCTGGGGCTCTCTAGCCAGTCAGCCTAACCTTAGCAGTGAGTTCAAAGTCAGTGAGAAATACTGTCTGAAGAGGTAAGCAGACAGTGCCTTAACAATGCCACCTGAGGTTGATGACATCTAGCCTCTACACACATGCTTGTCACTGGAACACACATGAACACTAAAACACACACACACACACAGAGAGAGAGAGAGAGCCTGAGCCTAGAAGAACCCTGTGTCCAAAGATCCAAGCAAGCAAGCAAACAAAACCCATGGGGGGGTGGGGGGGGAGAAGAGAGAGAAGAAAGAAAAATGAATCAACCTTCCAGAATATGTAACACGGGTGTGGTTTGTTTGGTTTTAACTAGTTTGGTTGGTCGGTTTTGAGTTTTGGTTTGGTTGGGAACTTCAGTTCACATTTCTTTGCATCTGCTTCAGAGTATCTGCACAGGGATATATGAGCATGAGCTGGACCTGGCAATGTCTAATCCCCCTCGTTGTCTCAGGCCCACCTTCGCTTTTGCCAGTTACTCAGTAGCTCTCTCACCCTCTCCAATGACTCATTCCTTCTTCATAGTCTCCTCTGTCCTTCCTCTTCATCCTCACTGTTGTCTACCTTTCTCCAGCTGTCACTGTTTCACACTGGGGTTTCTTGAAGGACATTTTAACTGGTTTTCCTGCCTCCCATCACATCTGCAGCTCAACAGTATGTGTGACTACTTGTTAATCGTATTCATTTAAATACTCTTGGTGACTCAGAGATTCCAGGGCATTCCACCTCCTGTAAGGTTCAATCTGATTCCTCTCCTATCAAAATCTCTCCTTTATTTCTTAACCTTTCCATTCTGCTTAATACTTTATGATCAATACTGTTACAGACTTTTAAAAAATAGAATTATTTACTTTATGTATATGAGTACACTGTCGCTATCTTCAGACACACCAGAAGAGGGCATCGAATCCCATTACAGATGATTGTGATCCACCATGTTGTTGCTGGGAATTGAACTCAGGACCTCTGGAAGAGCAGTCAGTGCTCTTAACTGCTGAGCCACCTCTCCAGTTCCAACTCGTTTTTGTTTTGTTTTGTTTTGTTTTGTTTTGTTTTGTTTTGTTTTGTTTTGTATTTTTAAGAGAGAAAAACTGGTGTTTCAGGAATGGTGTTACATGAGATGTTAACAGTTGTGGTGAAAATTCAGATAAACTGCCCTTATGAGACCTTTCATAATCTGCAAATGCATTTTACAATGGTAAGCCACTGTCATTGTAGTAGGTGGTGAACATGTGGTATCATGTATTACAACAAAGTGGGGGGAAAAAAGCAAAATCTAAAAATCTGAGAGGGGACACCCTGTGAGCTGTGTTCTCCCTTTGTTTCTACAGGGAGCCCCGCAAAGTAGTCCTTCACAAAGGCTCCACTGGCCTGGGCTTCAACATTGTGGGCGGGGAAGATGGAGAAGGTATTTTTGTATCCTTCATTCTGGCCGGTGGACCAGCAGACCTGAGTGGGGAGCTCCAGAGAGGAGACCAGATCTTATCGGTGAGTGTCTCTTTAATGTCCTTTCAGTCTACACCTAGCATCATCCATGAAGAAATCATTTTCATTACAAAGGGAGATGTTTCACAGCCTTGGGAGCATTGGGGTTTAGATGGCTCATAGGTACATGATGCTTGTCACTTTACTTCTCCTGGTTAAAGGTGGAGGTCCTAGATCTTCTTTCAGATTATGATGTGTATCGACATGCAACAGAATACTGAGAAGCAAGCTTTATATAAATGGTATACTGCTTGCTTACTGAACTACAACCTCCCCAGAACTTGTGACCACACTCCTAAAACTTTGGTGAATATGAATATATGAGAAAAATAAGAGAATGCCACATGGTGTGGCAATGGTGACATGTGGCAGGGAGCAGAATTTGCCTAAGTTCAATAATTACCAGCAATAAAATAAATTAAAACTTAAAAAAAATTCTGGTAACAACTTTTTCAGCATATATTATTTGTTAATAAGATTATTAAAGTGAAGTTTAAGGTCACATTACAAGAATATCTGATAAACAAAACCCTGTACCTACTTAGTATGTACATCTGAATGTGTTTAGAAGTGGATGCATTTCCATGAATCTCTTACCATAATGTACCATCATAAATATATCCACCATCTCTCTAGTACTTCATTTGTGTTTTATCACTTATAACATACTTAAATCACATCAAGCCTATTAAAAATTTTAAATGGGACTGGAGAAATGGCTCAATCTGTAAGCTGCTTGCTTTTAAGCACTAGGATCTGAGTCCAAATCCCCAGCACTCATTTGAAAAGCCAGGCATAGGGGTACATACCTATAATCCCAGTGCACAGAAGGTGGAAAGAGGAGGGTCTTTGGGGAGAATGACAGGGGGAAACAACCAGTGTCAACCTCTTGTCTTCACACACACACACACACACACACACACACACTACAAAAAGAATTAAATATACAATATATACAATATTATTAACTATAGGTACTATGCTATAGCATAGACTTCAAGAACTTCTTCATCTTTCATCACTATAAAATTAATTTTCACTTCAAAGGTATCTTCTCATATTTATATGAGAGAATCAGGCTCCCCAAGATTGAGTAACCTGCCAAAATTTACCAATTAATACACAATTAATTTTCTATTTATAAAATATGAGTGATGTTTCTTCCCTGCCCTGTTCTTTCTTGCTTCCTTCTACTTTTCCCTTTATCTTGCTTTCTTTTCATTTCTTCTGTGTGTTTATACATTTATTGACTGTTTCCTATATAAAGCTCCCTCCCTGATGGGATGGATGGTTAAATCCATTGCAAATGGTTATAATCATATTAGAGTTTTAATAATTGTATAAATAATAGAGAATTATATGTGTATTCTAGTTCTTATAGAGGATTATGGTTCATAACTTAATAAAGCACATAGTTTTTGTTTTCATTGTGTACTGAGAAAAAATGTTTTCACTTTATGGCTACGATTTACAAATAGAATTTTCCAAGAATTTTCCACCTTAACTTGTTAGCCGTTATTTCAACCCCTTAAACAAATGAGCAACTATCCCTCCATTTCTATTGCTGCCTCTTTCTCTCCCCATACTTTATACTCCTCTCTCTTACTCACACACAAACACACACATACACACATAGTTTCCCTAAACAGTTCACAGCAGTTGACCTAAATACAGTACCCAGAAGTCTGCATGGACGGCCTGGCTGTACCTTGAGTGTGACCACGGCTTTCCTATGTATACATACCTCTGCCATCCAAGAACTTGAAGCTCACTGGATTCTGAGTCTGAGATGTGATGTAAGGTCTTACACCAGGACCTTTTTCTGCCATCCTAGGACTGAACTATATCTTTGTCTCTTAAATGGTATACAAAATATGCAATGCAGTTATTCAGGCTTATTACCTGTATTGGCTTACATGACTACTTCTTTATTACCTGATTTCTGAAGAACAAAGTTTCATCTCTTAAAGCAGTTTTTATTCTCAACATACGGCACAGCGACTGCTTCATAGCATTTGCTCATAGGAAGTCATTATAGCCTAAGAGTCCAATTCTGAAATTCTCCATCATCCAAAAGGAAATTTGTGCTCTGGCATCTACTCACTGTCAAGACTCACATGGTCACAGCACATTTTGAGACAGAAACACTTTCACGTAAACTAAGCTGTATCCATCCTTAAGGAGATGCCAACAGTCATGGTAAAGTTCTTGCTCCTCTCACTTTTCAGACTGGAAAGAAGAATCTAAAAGGATTAATGAGTTCCTTGGCTCCATTACTACTGACCATGTAGCTGAATTCTTAACTTCTCTTGACCCCAAGTAGGAGTCCCCTCTATATACAGCAGTCTTCGAGATTCTGCCAACTGAGTAGGGTCGTTGGAGTGAAGCTTACTGCGCTAACTGCATGCTGTGGTTAGAAACTAAAGTAAAAAGGAGTACTTTTTACTTAGGCCATATTTATAGCAGATTTAATCTTATGACCATACCATACATTATCATCCTCAGTTTAAGGACAATAAAATGAAGGTGAAGGTGATATCATTTCTCTACTTCTACCAAAGTAGAAGACCTGAGGAGCCATAGGTTTGGTTTTTCTCCTATACAATATAAGGAAATACAGAAGCTAAGAATAGTAGATGATTTAAAGGAAGATAACTCAAAAGTATTTCTGCTTTTAAAAATAGATCTATCTGTTTAATATTAATATTATTAGGACCACAAATCAAGTAATGCAACCAACCAGAATTATAGTCTTGAAAATTACAGTTCATGGGACATGACAGTCTCTGGAGATCTGATGGTATACTCTTTATTATGTACAATGTTTGAAAAAGCATTCAATGGCAGAAAATAGCAACTGGAAATGATTTCCCATTAGAAAGGAAGACAGAACTTTTTGTTTCTTTTTAGCTTGCTTGAGTTTATTTAACTTTCAGTAGGAAGTATCTAACTTCAAGTTAAGTACTGTGATTTTATTGGATAACTATTGGAGAAAAATATAAACATTTAGAGATTCTGATGAAATAATGGATGGGCAGAAAATGAAAGATTAGAATTATAAACAGTGGAACGGGAAAGATACAGAATTTTGCACCTACAACTTAAACTGGACAGAAAGAGCAAGAGGTGCATTCCCAAAAAACATAAAGCAGAAACTTTAACAATCAAAGCTAAATAAAAACTCTGTGCGTGACACCAGGTCATGTAAGATTAATTTCCAAATTATTCAGTTAATAAATTGTTTAGGTTAACAGTAACCTAGAAAGTTCAGATTGAAGGAAGAGGATTTGGAGTATATTTTGCTATCAGGCACTCTTCACAGATAAGAGAGCTGTATCCTTAGGATCAAGGGCAGAGTATCCACTCAGGAAAAACTCCACAATCCAGATAACTCTACCATACAGACTATAGACATTTCCTAGTAATGTATTTGATAAGGGCTTACAGTGTGACAGCTCTAGTGTGCTAGCTTTTGTGTTCCCCATCCTCTCTCTACCTCTGACCCCCCCACACATTTAAAATGCTACATGTCACATGGAAAATCTTCATTCAATTTCACTAGCACTGTAATTAAGATCAATTTAATACAAGTTTTTTTTGATAACTGCTACATGTATATTTTCATCAAATCCACCCCTCCTCTTCTCCTACTTCTGCTAGGCCAAGTTCAGTCACTCCCAACTTCTTGTCTTCAATTTTTCTTTCTTTAAAAAAAAATAATCCAATTATATTCATGGTGTAAGACCATCCACTGGAGCATCAACATCCTACCAGAAACCCATCCCTACAGAAAAATGACTCTCCCCTAACAGCCATGACTGGATTGTTATTGTGCAGGTCTTAGGAGCCACCCCAGCTGCAGTGAATTCCTGAGTGTGGCAGACAAGTTACTACGAGATGACACTACTTCCCGTCAGTCCTCTCAACTGTCGGCTCTTTTCTTTCTCCCCTCTGTCTATAACACTTCCTGAGCTTCAGCATAGGAGTGCATGATATAGATATTTATGATGTTTTTAAAATATCAGATAACCATAACTAAGGTAGAATTCATATGGCTTGGATTATTCCTTCTTTAAGACAGAGTTTAGACTAGGTCTGTATCCCCCACAAAGAATGTTTCACGAAATAGCTGAAGTGAGTTATTACCATAGTTGCTTAGTACCAAGAGTCTTCAGCTGAAGAATTTGTCAAGACATCTGTGTACCAGTGTGCCCTGGGGATGATATCCTGAATACAGATAAAGTAACAGTTTTTCCAAATTTCTTTAGCCATGAAACCCTTACATAACAAATACCTTGGAGGACAGTAAGATGAGAAGTCTGGGGTAGATATTTTTATAGTTCCCAAAGTTAACCACTTGCTATATTTTTTTGTTTTGTTTGTTTGTTTGTTTGTTTGTTTTTGCTATTTTTTTTAAATTTAGCATACAATGTAATGGGTTTTTTAATGACACCCTCATTTATATATATCAAGGCACGCTGTTACCTGCCCCCCCTCCTCCAATGCCCTCCCCTATCCCACCTGCCCTTTCTTTCTAGCCTACTCCAACCTCTCCAGTAAACCTCCTTCCCTCTGCTTTTAACTCATAGGAATGTCATTTCCTTCCCTCTGCTCCCCCATTCAGACACAGGATGGTGGGTGCCATCTAGTGTTTAGTATGTGAACTACAGCTGAACACTCCCTGGCGACTTAAAGCAGCAGCTAGCCAGGTTCCACCGTGGAGATTTACTCCTGCTCCACAACACAACTACAGTTCTGAAGTAGTTAAGATAACGAAAGATGTTTAAAGACCATCACCTTGGATTAAATTCCATACATCTAGTATAGGTGATCTTTTCTCTCTAATTTCCCCTTATGCATTTTATTTCGTAGAGATTCATTGTAGAAAGAATTCCAATCATTTAAACATCTTCTTAAAGTATTCTTGGGACAGATTTTAGAGCATTCATCAGGCAAATACATTAACCAGCACAGTGACCTTCTTTGGACATTCTTTCTGCAGA